ACTCCCATCCTCCTGGTGATTGGTCCAAAGTCACCCAGCCGGCTTTCGTGCCTAAGGCGGGACTAGAACTCCCATCCTCCTGGTGATTGGCCCAAAGTCACCCAGCTGGCTTTCGTGCCTAAGGCGGGACTAGAACTCCCATTCTCCTGGTGATTGGCCCAAAGTCACTCAGCTGGCTTTCATGGCTAAGGTGGGACTAGAACTCCCCTTCTCCTGGGGATTGGCCGATGTCTCCCAGGTAGCTTTCATGCCTAAATGAGAACTAGAATTCCCCTGGTCATCGTCCTAAAGGCAGCTGCCAGTTTTCATACCTAATGCAGTACTAGAAGTCACCGTCTCCTGGTTTGTGGAACAACCCCATAACACCCAATGTGATTGTACTTGAGAGTGATTTTGTGTGTGTGTGTGTGTGTGTGTGTGTGTGTGTGTGTGTGTGTATTTAAACCTCTTCCTTCTCAACGGCTTCTCTCTTGCAGTCCGGCTACCAGGCCTCTCCCCAGACAGCACCCCGGCACCCTTTCATACAGCACCCCCAAGGTCAACGGTTCTACCACAAGTGAGCCTGGCACACCCTCCAAGACACACACACACACACACACACACACACACACACACCCCACACATACACATACACCATTGGCTGCTTCAGCGTCCTTCCCCGGCACGAAAACCTGGAAGGTCTCCCTCGGACGAGTGTCAAAATCCTTTTGATTTTCTCCTTCCTGCCTTTCTCCAGAAACGTCACGAATTTTACACACACACACACACACACACACACACACAAAACAATGGGATCGTGACAAAACGCATCCTGCCGCTTTCGTTTTCGAGGTGGGTGGTTTATTCCAACCTCCCATAGAGTTGGGGAGGTTGTGGGAGGGGTGTGTGTGCAAATGACGCTACACAATGAAGAAATCAATACCAGTTGTGTATATATTGTGATATATAATGCATTGCATCCAATTTTCCTTCCGGATCTTGGGTGCTAAAGGGGGGAAAAAATAGGCCAAATTCGACAGCTTTCTTGCAAATTGATGGGATGGAATTTCCCAAAGCGGGTTAAATTGGGTTCAAATTTCTCCCCCCCCCCTTTTAAACCCAGCAATTCTCAATTTTGGCCTGTTTTTTAAAAAATTGGGTGGACTTCAACTCCCAGAATCCCCTGTACCCAGCCAGTATTTCACTTCCCATCTATCCCTCCTTTAACCCGCTTATTCGTTTTAACTTGTCGTGGGTTGTTTTTATTTTTTTCCCTTCACTTTGCTGAAGTCAAGATATATTACGTCTCCTGCATTCCCACCGTCCCTTAAGAAAGTTCACTTTATTTAATTTTTTTAAAAAACAGAAGTAATCTAGAAAGATGCTTTATTCTTCAATCTTTGCTGGCTGGGGAACTCTGGGAGTCCAAGGAAGACAACGTTGATCTGGGTCATTCTTTTCATGTACTCGGAAGAATTCTAAGCCGGCCGGGTTAAAACATTCTCTGTATACTTAAAATATATTACTGTCCTAAGGTTCTAGTCCTCAGCATTTCTTCACTGCTATTCTGTGAGCTTGTTGTTCCATTATGTCTTAAGTTGTTTTTTTTTAAAAGGTGGTGTGGCCTGGAACTCAACACAAAAGTTGGGCGTAAACCAACCTTGAATAAAGTGGAATATTCCCGTAGCTTTTGTGTGTGCGTGTGATTTGGATGCTGTACCTGTTGAACATCCTTATATTATTATAATATACCCTAATATACAGTAGACTACGTTAGAATACAATATACTTATAATAAGCATGTTATAGGATAATATACCACGTGGAAAGGTGATTCTATTCTACTATATTATGTTACAATATACAGATTATACCATATGGAAATATAATATAATATAGAATGTTATAATACAATATATTTATTATAACCTAGTATAATAGAATAAGCTTTCCGCATAGTAGTACAGCCACTGGCAGCCGCTTGCCAGCTTTGTTGAGCCCCTCCAGGAATTGCCGTTCACAATTCAACAATCTTGCTAAATAGAATCAGAAAATTCTTTATTGGCCAAGTGTGGTTAAGCTACGCAAGGAATTTGTATCCGGTGCATAAGCTCTCATTGCCCCCATAAGCAACAAGCGATAAACCAGGATCACAGTCATGAAATACGATCATCATCTACCATAAGATACGACACCAAATGTAATATAAACGTAATACTAAATGAAAATACGGCAGCTGGAGATAGGCAAGAAAGCACTGTGGTTTGCAAAAATAAATAAATAAAAAATTAGGGTGCCGGGTATCATCTAAATGTTTAGCGGTGTTACCCATCCTGGGCACCTTGAAAATGGACGGAGTTCAACTCCCAGAACTCTCCGGCCATCCAAAAGTTTACCAAAATTCAGCGTGGCTAAGAACGTCAACTCCTAAAATATTTCTCTGGTCTTTTTAGAGTGGCCAACAGAAAGGGAGGGGGGAAAAGAGCAGTGCGGCAGCTTGGAAACCAAAAGTGCATTCCATCAATACTTTTTCAAAGATAGTAACTAGGTGACTGAAGTTTCTGCTTTGCAAAATTCTAACTGGAGAGCATGATTGATGGCTCTGGGCTATGGAGGTGTCCCATTGGAGAATATGAATTACGATACACCCAGAGGGGCGGGGGGAAAACCAGGGTCCAAGGGTGACAATGAACGATGTGTGTCCAGAGTCGGCTACACCCAGGCAGTGCCAGACACGTTTAACTCCGAATAAATCCTTTTTGGAAGTTTGGCTCGAGACTCGGGAATTTAATTTCGGGGTAACTGCCAGAATCCTGACAATACTGTCACTCATCATTACTTTTCATGTAATACATCGACATAGGATTATAGGTGGATGTCAACTCCCAGAATTCCCTAGCCTGCAAGGGAATTTGGGGAGTTGGAAGTCCACGCTTCTTAAAAGTTGCCCAAAACGGAGAAACCCTTAATTCTATTATCTTTTGGAGGGGATTCTGGGAATTAAAACCCACACCTCTTTAAGGCTGGAGAAAGACCGATGGCACATAACAGTCCTGTGCCACTTACACAACCGCCGACAAATTTAAATAAGTTGAAGAGATTTGAACATTGCTTCCCACGATTCTCCAGGATAATTCAGGCCTTGTTTTTCCAGAAGCCATGAAAGCGGGGAGCTAATCTGTACCTGGGTGGGTCCGTAGAGTGGGTGACTTTTAACTATGGGCCCCTTTACGACCTGTGGACTTCAACTCCCAGAATTCCTGAGCCAGAGATTGTGGGAGTTGACGTCCAGAAGTCACTGAAACATGGCCGACCGGCAAGGGAATTCTGGGAGTTGAAGTCCACAGGTCGTAAAAGAGGCCCCACCCTGCTTTAGCAGAGCAAGGTGTTGGATTGATCCATGATGCACCTGTCGGGACAGGTAAGATCCTCCTGAAGGTGCCAAGATACGGGGCCTCTCTAGGACCAAGCCAGTTGTGCTCCGAAGAAACTGGCCGTCGGTGCAGAACCTCGGCCGCCACATCCGACGGCAACCAGGACGCCATGTTCCATCGTCGATGATGGGTTCTGTGTGGGTCTTCCAGCACGGATCCGTTCGGACACATCGCAAAGACTGAGGCTGAAGTCGCCTTCCGGATAGAAAGCTATTCATGCTCCACATACAGGCAAGTTCTTGACTTGCAACCATTCGCGCCACGACCAAAACGAAAGGGGACTTCGTGAATCCTTTCGCACTTAACGACCGCCGCACCCTCCTGAGTTGCGGGATCAAAATCCAGATGCTTTATGACAGTCGTGTGATTCCCCTCTTGTGACTTTCCTACTAGCAGAGTCCTATGGGGAGCGGGGGGGAGCCAGCTTCACTTAAGGACTGCGGGACTAACTAAAGACCACAATTCGGTTAACGACGGCGGCAGGAGAGGTCGCAAAATGGGACAAATCACTTAACGGCCTTGCTTAGCAGGGGAGATTTTCTAGGATTGATTCCTATATAGGATTTATCGGCCGCCCCATCTTACCGTCCGGTAATACATATATGGCCGTCGTTAAGTCGAGGACTCCTCGTAGCAGCTGTTTCGACCTCTTCTCACCTGGCAGCTCCCACCCACCCCATTTCTGAAGGAGGCACATCCCCCCCCCTTAGGTCCCTTGAGTAGACCCCCCCCCGCCCCCCTGGCCAGGGCAAGTCTTCTCCCCTCCTTGCGAGACACAATGCACACACACACACGCAATGACGCACAACCAGAGCTTTTTCATATTAAACTTGGTTTTTTTTATTTATTGAGGTGCATTAACAAATGGGTTGGATTAACAGGGCGAGGGGGCGAGGGGGGGGCACAGCTTGACCTGGGAACAGCAGAGGAGAGGAAATATGAACCAAGGAGACAGTTCAAAAGGGGGGGGGGGGGGGGGGGGAGGGCGTTTCTAGTTAAATGTTTTGTTTTTTTAAAAAAAAACCACTTTCTCTCCCCCTCCCCCAAAATAAAAGGTTTCCCTAACCTGAAAACAGCATTTTTGGGCGGTTTAGGGGTGGTGGGGGGTGCTAACCCTGTAAAATGGAGGGAGGGTCTCGGAGGGAGGGGGGAAGGAAATCCAACATGATTGACGGGGGCCAGAGTAACCCTGCCCCTATATATATACTCCGCCGGAGGGGGCAGGTCCCCGTCATTCCAGCCCCCCCCCCCCGTCTTCCTGCCCCGCGCTTGCGGACAAAGGGGGGGGGGGGGATTTTAAAAAAACCAAACACCCAAGGGGGGAATCCCCCCCCCCCCCCCAAAAAAAATACAACCCCACTTCGGGGCTTAACCTCCCAGCACGGAGAGAAAGGACCGAAACCTGTTGCAACCGCCCAGCAGACAGGTGGAAAAGGGGAGGTGGAGGAGGGGCACAAAAAAATTAAAAAAACAGCCCCCCCCCACCCCCAAACAACGCCCCCCCTACGTACGTACGTACCCCTGTCAACCCTCAAGAGAAACATTCATGGAGGAACGAAGACTTTGGAGGAGGAAAGGCCCACCGGGGCGTTTTGCTCAGCTGGGGAGGGATGGGGGTGGCTTTCACACACACGCACCCCCTCCCCAAAATCTGCCCTCTCCTCTCGAAAGGAGGATGAAAATGAGAACGAGGGGGGGAGGGGGGAACCAAAGAGTCTCTCGCGATGGTTTTTCTCTTTTCCTTTCCTTTCCTTTCCTTTCCAGCAGTTAAAATATCTTTTTTTTTGTCTTTTTAAGTGCAAATTTTCTCTTTGCCAGGAGCACAGACACAAAAAATAAATGGTTGTAGTGTGACTGAGCACCACAGAGGAGGAGGAGGAGGAGGAGGGACGGGGGGAACGAGGCAGGGTCCAAAACAAGGGGAAAAAATAAACA